CTTTTTTATTTATATATATATATTTCGCTCTTTGTTATATTTGTGTCTGACTAATTCATTCTATTTCCTGTTCGAGTTTCCTCTGTCCACCGCTTTTCAATATTTAATCAGTTTACTATTGGCATTGAGAGATTTCATATGAATGAAAATGCTGACATTCCATCAGACCGACCACGATTTGACAAAGGAAACCGTCCAAGTGAATAGCTGCTTGGGTCGCGAAGTGGTGCCACAAATCTGGGTCTTATCACAAGAATAACAGCTCCCAGCTGCAGTTCACTAGGGGAAATAGCCAAACACAATGGCAACTGATAAATGCCGAGAAACAGTGGCAGCAACAACCACAGAGAGGGTGGCTGTGAGGATTGTTGTACTGGTGCGCTGGCCTGTGAAATGAAAGTAGTGAGAAAGAAATACTGTCAGACCGAACAAACACTCGAAAATACTCGCAGCGGCCATGAAGCGGCAAAGTCAAGAAGTCTCCTTCTGCTTCTACATCAGCATCAGAGTCTGCGGTTTATCATTGACTTTCATGTCGAGACAGGCGACGTGACGAGCACATCGAAATGTTTTCAACAAATTTCAATTTAGAAAATTTCACTACTATCAAATTTCCTGTTACACGCCAGCATTATGTTGTCTTGAATTTTTTGCAACAAATTAATTGTTTACTTAAGTAATTGCTACTTATGTAATTGCTAAGCGGCCAGTTTCTAAGAGCGTTATTTTCTTCTTTCCGTCTTCTGATACATGTTTCAAGGTAAAGGCCAGTAAGACCAGCAAGCCGCACAAAAGAAGTTGGTGCGGCTTTAGCCGACGACTGGCCACTCTCCTTGACTACAGTCTACCGTCTACCGTCTACAGTCTACAGTCTGATGCACACATGGATTAGATGACAGATTATTAAATGCCCATGAAATGAGCAGCCGTATTGGCGTTGCTTCCTACTTTTCTCTATAGCCGCATAGCGGCTGGCATATGGGCATAGCCATAGCTATAGCCATAGAGGCTAAGTAGTCGGTGCTGGGTGCTTGATGCTCTCAAGGTGTTGCCATAATGTCTTCATTTAATAATCTGGTGTAAGAATTACTCTGCCATGAGCAAAATGCTTTTGAGACACGCGTAAAACTGCCTCTCTTAATAGGCGTTGTAATTGTCAGTTGCATGCAACTGATTAACCGACGTCCAGTGCAAAGTTCAAGTTTATGTAGGATCGCTGCTTCTGATATAATAAACAATAGCTATACTCATTAAAACTCTTTAACAACATTTCGCGGTTACTTTATTACAGAATTATAACAATTTCTGAGGAACTCGTTACTCTAGTTCCGACCACTTTGAGCACAGTACATAAATATTAAGGCACATATGTTTGTACACTTCGCATAGCGAGCTTAAAATGAGCTCGTTGAGAACCTTTCCCCAAATTTATTATGGCACTTTCCTTAATGAGTTAATTTAGTCAACTCACTTTATGGCCATTAATTTGGCCATCTGCCTTAGTTATGCAATGAAACTACTGCGAAATAAAAGATTCAAGTTTGAGAAGAATCTATAAAATTAATTGTATTAAAATCGCAATAATTTTTAATATTAATTTAATTAAGATTTTTTCTATTTTTAGAAATTGTTGTATATTAACGAATAAAGCAACGAATAAGTTGCTTTATGCTGTCAGTCAATCAAGTTTTAATTTTGAAAATTGTTTAATTCACTTTATTCGCAACTAATATCAAAGTGAAATTCTCAAATTTTCCGGAAAAAAACTTTATATACTACTAATGTCTACTAACCGCCAACTATTTTGGGGAACTAAAATTACAATGCAAGTTGTTTTATTAATGCAAATTCTTCTACGATGGTGAAAAATGTGTGGTTGTTTAACTGGATACAAAGCTGGTATTAGTCGAATTACGAATCGCTCAGCTCCACCGAAGCCCCTCTGCAATTTCGTAATGACCCAGAAGTATTTATTATAATGGCATAGCCATTATTGGTCAACACACGCCAGGTACACCCACACCATTGTTGCACAGTTGTTAATCGAATAGTTGGAGTGCTATGCTGCCAATTCCAAGTCCAGAAATAGTAGTTCTCTTCCGCATGGCGAACCGCAAGAAACGTCGCTGTAAATTGACTTTCCTGCAGTGAAACACGGCTGAAACACGAAAAAACTTCAAAAAGAAAAGAATCTCAATGTTTGTGAAATTGATCGAAGTGGCAATTTTTCTTGCTGTATTTTGCAATGCTCCCAATAGAAGTGGCAACTAGATGCCACTTACTGCAAACAATCTTCAGATTCTCTTGATGAGACTCACGCATCGCCTGTCCGTTGGTATGCTGATTATAGCGCTTGTAAATGAGATCTGTGATATTAGAGCTGCCATCATTGGAGTTGGATATTACTCTTAACGGAAAATGCTTCACTTGGAAGTTGAAACTGTGCAGTTTCAGTGGAACTGTTAAATTATGTGCTTGAGTCTTATTCGTTTGTTTGTTTATTCTTGTATACGACTTGCCGATAAAAGAGATTCAATGTGTTCATAAATATGATTCAATGTGGAAAAGAAAGCTGTGTTCTAAGCATCTGTCTATTACTTACGTTGCAGATGATGATGAGGTTAGTTACTTCATAGCTTAATAGCTGGATGGGCTGGGTTACTTTATTTGAAAACAGTACACTCTCTGTGCTCAGAAAGACTTAGATTAATATGAATATGAAATTATACACATCTACTCTTCAATTTAGTAACTTATTTAACATACCCAATGATAATTTGTGTGTTGATCAGAATTTCGAATTAATGTAACGAATTGACAAACCGAACTCATTCTCGATAATAAAGGAAGAAATTATTATTCTAAATGAAAACGAAATGAGCATTTGGCATTTAAAACACTTTGCATTAACTTATTATTGCAAAAGCCTATAATGTGATTCGTTTACATTTCATTACGCTCAAGTGAATATAATCCACAAACCCGGCGCATTCAGACAAATATTTATAGACATATTTGTACAGCTCAGCGGCAGCACTTATGCCTCCTTGGCCTTCTACTTCATTGGTTCAGTGTACTATTTGAAATACTCGTAGCTTGCCAGTATTATCTTTTCCCTGAGTTGGGCAGAGAGTTACAGTTACATAGGGCTCCTTGCTGATAGGATTAACAGCGCACACAAACACACAATGTGGCATCACAAACCATAACAAGATACATGAAGGAAAAAAATAATAAAAATGGAGGCAGCCACCGAACTGAGGAGAACCCCAATGAACATAAGGATGAACAATGTGCACTAAATGTTTTACAAATGCTGTACAATGCTTGAACACGAGTGTGTTTTGTTTAGCATTTGTTGTGTTTTGTATTTAGTTTTACTGTGTATTGATATATTTTCGTTTCTGCCCGGTATATTTTTGGGCATTAGTTCTGGTCGGAGTGCGGTGGAGGTGCCAAACAAATGGCTGAAAGGATTAAATGCGTATTTGCAAGCACAAATGTAAACTGTGTGCTGCTTGTTTTAGGATTGTATTCACTTCTGGTATGTGTAGTAAATATTGTAGGGGATATTGTTACTAATGTTTTTCAGAAAAATGAAATAAATATAAATACAATATATAATATAGTAAAAAGATTATCATGCTGGTTACAGCCCTCCAAGTTTATCCATCGAAACAATTTTATTTAAGAGGCATATAATAAATCATAAGTATATCGAGAAATATTTTTGAATCCCAACATTGCAGCTTTGCGAATTTTGCTTTTTAGAAATTGTGGCTTAATGTGTCATTCAACTTAAGCGAAACTTTACAAGACAAACATTTAGTATGCAACTGTCTTTCATAAGTTCTCTTCAGTACATACATTCAGTAACAGTATCTTAAAGTTTCTCTAGCAAATGGAATATATTTAGCTTTCTATGCATTATTAAAATTTGCTAACTTTTTAAATAGAGAACTGCGCATGTTTACAAGAACTTCACTGCTTGTAACTTACACAACCAATTCAGACTGCTCAAAATGTTGACGAAACACAGAATACTAATAAACTTGTCATTTATTCACCATCTTTAAATTTGATGTTTTCATTATATTCAAGACAAGTAGCCACCACTAAAAAGCATCTGTTCTGACCAACAAGTGCTATTGAATTTGGTCGTTAAGCGATATGCTCCGAAATTCAGCTTTCATCTTCATCTCTTGCTTGTCATGTGCCACAGTCCGGGCCAAGTGCAGTTGGTCGAATGGGAAATTTAAGGGAAATGAAGGCAGTTCGCAAACAGCGAAATTTCGCGCGCATTTGCGTGTGTTGTTGGCATTTGCCTTTTGCATAAATAAATAAATATATAACTGCTGGTATACAGTGCTGAGTGTATGTTTTCTGCCTGTGCTTGTGTGTTAGAGACGTTTTGAGTGCTTGTTGCTGTTAACTTTTAGCGCTTGTCTTTTGTTGCCTACTTGGAGGCGTCTCCATCCCATCTCCTCACTCTCCCCACTCTTCCTATTTCTTTTCTTGACTCCTCTGCGATTCGTGTCTGCCGCTCAATTTATCTCTCATATTATATTCACATTGCGTGTGCGTACCTGAAATTGTTTTCAGCACTTTAAGAAAGTATTATGTTCAATATGAGCTAAGTCTTATTTAATGTCTATTGTTCAAGTTATTGGAAAAACACAGTTTCTACCTACATTTGAAAACGATGTAGATTCAAGCAAACGCAGTAAATTTGAATTTATATATTTAATTGTTATTAAATTACTTGAGCTTACATACAAAATTTAATAATAATTATACTTTATACTTTGAAAACTTGGTGAAATCCTTAAAAGCGATAATCTGTAAATAATTGAAGATGTGCCCAAATACTACAACAGCAAAATATCACTTTATTCATCAATAAAATTCCAATTTGTTATAATTTTTAGAATTTTTACCAACGCATGCAGTAATTAGTTGTGTAACTAAATAAATGTTTAACGTTTCTTGACTATTTCCAGGTATGTGGCCAAGACCTTGACCAACGGCGCCTTTGTAATTGGTTACTCAACATCTAAGTCAACACACGCGCGACAAATTTTCATTAGGCTGGAGTGTTACTTGGTTTCGTATGTATGTATATGGCAAATGTTTATATTATGTATTCGTGTTGGCAATGCAAATGCATTCAGTTGTCGATTGCGTCGTTTGAAATGTGCCCAAAGAGCTAACCAATCAATTAATGGCCAAATCACATAATGCATGTAAACGATAATGAAAATGACATTTGCCACAGCAACACGCAAAACAACAACAAACGGGGAACAACGACGGCATTATTGCTGCCGAGGCAGAAATATTCCGCAGTCCCACTAGGGGAAAAAAAGAGCGTTAATTAATGAAATTAAGCTTGCAAATTGCGACCGATTCTCTCTCTGTGTGTGTGTGAGTGTGTGTGTGTGTCTGACAATATTGAGTGAACGCATAACGGTGTGAATGAACATCAGCATGTATTAGTAACTGTGCCTGTCGCACAGTGCTTTTACATAATGCTCTGCACTTCGGTCTGTGCCAGCACAAGATAATCGATTATAATCGCACCTGCTTCCACCCCCCCCAGGCACCTTAAGGGGGCGTGACGGGCGTTGTCACTATGCTGACATGTTGGCCGTGTGAGTTTCGTGCCTTCGACGAATGTCGCTCATTATTCGGCTTAATGTCGTTGACTGGTTTTCATTTGCAACCGAAATTGTGGGGTATGCGTAGAGTTGTTGTCGGATTGGTGCAGAGCTAAGTTGACATTGCTTGAGGTTTTAATTAGCATTCCACTGAGACTTTGAGCGCCATTCCATGAATTATCCAAAATGTTATTGCTCTTCTTCGCTTGTAATATTTTTAAATTGAAGGCCGGTCGCTTCTGAGTTTAATTTAGGGTAAAAAGAAATTCAAATTCACCGAAATAGTAATATCTATACACTTTCAATGATGAAGCTTTCCCTTTTTCTTTGCCATGGGTGCTGTGCAAATTTATTGGTTTTCGCGGGCATTACTTCATTTTGTTGTTTTGCGCCACTGGGCTTAGATCGCGTGTTACAATCGCCTGTAAATAGGCAGCAAACGCTGGAAAAAAAAAGGAAAACAACACATATAAAAGAATAGAATTAAAGCTGTCTGCCTTGTTTTGGGTCTGGGACTGGGAATAAACTAGACACCTGCGCTCGTAGACGTGGCGTGTTTGTTTGCCTTACGCTTTTGCCCGTTGGCGTGTGTCGTGTTCTGCTATTTTCATTATTATTATTATTCTTTTTTCCTTTGCTTCATTAGTGCCAATGCACCCGGCGAGAATCGAGAAATGAAAATCGCGAATGAAGAATCGCTGGCCGACTGTCGCCTAATGCCCAACGCTCTAGATGTGTGCTATGCTCCGTATGAGGTCAAAAACAATCGATTTTCATTTCATTTTCCTTTTGTGTGACTTTTTCTTTTCTGTGGCCCGCTTCGTTTTTGGCTCACGTGCTACTAGAAAGTATTAAATGTGTGTAGCTATGAAAACATTGCGAGCGCTTTAAAAATTATGCTTGTCACATGCTGCGTATGAGTAATGGCCTAGCATTCAGCTCAGTCCCTATTGGATTTTCTAATCATTTGTTGTAATTTGTTTTGGTTGAATTTGACAGCTTTGGGACTTACCTTTTGGTACACACAGGTATACGCAGAATCCTTAATTTTTAAAACAAATTAGCTAATTCCTTGCACAGTTGTATGACAGCTACTTTTATATTATATTATATTTGAGTTTTCAATCATTAAATAATATTTTGTTACATCATGGAAAATACAATTAGACCAACACAAAAAAATGCATCTTTTGCTGAGCAGTTCAGTCAAATATTGGGCAACAATTTTAAAATACAGCAAATGAAGATACAACTTATAAATTTAACGATTCCCTAGTCGCTTCCTTTAATTTATGCAAAAGAAACTTTCAAGCAATCCACACACATGCGTGTCACAACTTGAGGAGACTAAACCTACAACAACATTTATTTATAACAACAAACTTTGTCAATTTTTTAAGACTATGAGTTACAAATTGTGAAGGTTTATTTTATGCAAACGCAATATCACAATCTCACGCCCAATATAAAAAAATCTATATTATATATATATAGTCTATGTGGGACCATATAAATATGGGCAGGCAGCTTAATTTAATGTTTCCGTGACCAATGTAATTATTTTTGTGGTCATAATAATTGCCGTATTGTGTTTGCGTTGCTTATAAGTACATATACATGTTTATCTGCAGTACTATGGTCTATGTATCTAATATATGTATATACTCTATATATATATAATTCATGCATTCGTGACATGTATCTAACATATTTATGACTAATAATTATAATATAAATAAAAGGTGATTTTTTCTACTTCCTGTGCTTTATTAGATTATCCATCTAAATATTTATTTCTGTTATACGTTGACCTTTCTGGGGTTAGTTAAGGGTTGTTTACACTCACGATAAAGAAACTGATAATATAAAAGTTTTTTATGTAAACACAAGTTTATATCTTGTACAAGTTTGGTATATTCTAGTTACTTCTCTTGTTCTTATTCTTGATTATTGTGTCTGCCTATTTTTGGTATCCTTTAAAGTTGCGTGTTTGCTGGACATGACCCACTTCCAGTTCGAATCAGATTCACTTGCCTTTAAGTAGTGTTGGTGGTCGGTTCTCTGCATAATTTATGTATGTCATTGAGCAATTCAATTGTAATTTTCTTAGCGTCGTCAGTTAGTCAAATTTAATGGTCACGTACGTACTTCTCATCTCAATTACCCCAGAAAGTTAGCTCGGTTAGTTTTTTTTTTTATCAGTTCGACGTTTGTATTATTTATACACAGCTCAGTCCATTCCACTTGAGCACTCTCTTTCCATTCAATAATGTATATTATATTATGTGTGATTGCCTTGTACAGACGCAGAAATGGCTTATTAGACCCCATTCAGTATATATATTATCAATATCAACTATTACACAGCGTATCGCACTGTCGACTCAAAAGATTACGTCTCACGTCTCAAAAATGTAATCTAAATGATAAACATCGTCGGTAAACCCAATACAAAGATAAAGACAAATTTGAATGTCAAATAAAAAACTTATGCAGTGCATGACTATCTCGTAACTACTTCTATAAAAAATCTTTCTTATCATTATCTTATCACACACTTTAAATGAAATTCTCAGCATTGTTCATGTCAAGGCTGAAGATAATCACAATTTGATTGATGTTCGAATCTGATCTGATATCATTATGCTGAAAAAAAAGATTAATTAAAAATTAGTTTGTTTTTTGGTTTGCATTTCCAGTTCGTCTATTAAATTTGATTGTACACTAATTATTTTAATGTATTATTGTAAGCTTGTGTAATTTTTTACATTTTTAAGAAATAATATCGATAATATTGATAGTTGTATTGAGTGAGAAAAGTATTTAACCAATTTAAAAGCTAATACATTGCTTTACAAAGTGAATATATATATACTAATAGTACAAAAACTATTAAGTGAATTTCTTCAGGTATAGATAATTATACATCATTATATCAAGTTAGTTCCTAATGTGCCTGTCCCTGGCCAAATCAAATGTTTATTTTGTTTTAATTTCCTTGCGGTGAGACAGACTATTTTATGGCACTTTTAATGGCCTCACATAAATGCTAGAATTGTAATCATAATGAAAAATCAAACACCATCCGAGCAAAGTTTGCGGTTGTGAAAGCTTTTTGGAGTTTAGCCGGCATTGGACTAAGTTGTCGGTTGGTTAACTTTGGTCAAGTGCCGTTAGCTAGCATAAATGAAAACAGCAAGCAGCAAACTGCAAAACCTGCACGCTGCTTTGCAGAGGATGCCATCGAATAAATAAAACTTTTATGATCCGGCATAAATCTTTCGGGGCAGGCATGTCAGGCCACCTCAGTTGCGACGCCCTGGGGCCGCTCCCATTGGCGTGGCAGACCATTAAACAGTTGTAATTCATGTCGCTGCCATTTCCGTTGTCTAACCAAATGAACCAATATAAATTCAATATTTTATGAGTATGTTTTCCGTTGAGATGGTTGAAATTTTCTTCTTTTTTTTTTTTGTTTTTGTTCTTTACTTTTCTCACACAACATAATATACACAATATATACGAACACTCAAGTAATCGACATTCATTCATCAATTATCCGGCTGCCTTTCTGCGGAGAGCCATTGCCCGTTGGAAATGTGTCGTGCAATGTGTGTCTACAATGTCTACGAGGTGGTCAGTAGCACACTCTGGCCAACACCGGGCCTATTTATAGAGCCATTAGACAACAACCAACATGCCAAAGTATCATCATTAATGGCACATAAGTTAGTCGGTATGTTACTTTGTCGCTTGATTTGTGCCCATGTTGATATTTATTAATGTTCAATTATCGATAATTATCTGTTTATATATTTATTATTGATTTTGCGGTCATTCTGTATACTCTTGTTACATGTATATACCATATACACATAATTGGTAACTTATTTCGTTTGATTAGAATTCTGGGAACATTAGTCCACTGACGTGAAAGCAATTGAGTCTTTTAGATAGGATGTTTGCTAATTAAGCCAATATAGAAGCGGATATGGCACGGCCTTGATAGTCCATATATTGTTTCAAATTCAAACAAACAATATAACGTATTGAACATTCTTTTAATTGAACGACTGTTAAAATAATTACAAAACGTTAAAACTCTCTTTCATACGTTGAATCAGTTTTAAATCCAACTTGCCGCGTCAAGGTCAACTTTTTATAACTTGTATCTCTATTTATAGCCACAAACTGAAATGTAACGCAACGTAACAAGTTTCAATTAAGAAAGCAACATTTTAATTATATATGTAAAGTATTGTAGGTTTTAAGTTGTCCGCCCAGAGATTTATTTCCACACAGAAATTGCTAAGCAACTTTTGCAAGTTTGCCGCATCTTGGCCGCTAGCTACAGGCTCATTAGGCAGAAGATGTGCACAAGAATCGCTGGTCCGGTTGCGCCTTTGGCTTGACTCACAGTCATTTACCATTGTGCAAACAATTTGCTGCGTTTCATGTTACGACTTTCGCAGCATAACAACGAGTGCAAGGCACAAAACAGAAAGCAGATGATGGCCACGACAGAGGCGGGCAAGCGATGACGTTCGGTCTGGCCAAGAAAAATTCATCGAAGAAATGCCAAACTACAATTGACTTGCATGACCATAAAAATTAAAATATATACACCAAAGCGAGCACTGTGACCGGCTGCACCAGAAGGCCAGCGGGTGCAGCGGGAATCGGCTGCGGGAGCGGTATCGGGACTGCTCCCGACCGTAGCTCAAGTCGCTGGTGGTTGGCTGCCTGGTACCTGGCCTGGTCCCTGGTCTGAAGCGCAAAAATAAAGTCGAGTGAAATTGCTGCTGTAATATATTTTAATAGCGCAGAGTGAGCACAGGCCGGAAAAACTCGGCGATTGAGTCGCTAGTTGTAGTCGAAGACGAAGTCGCGTTTTAATACTTTTTTTTTTGTTACTTGGTTGTTTGGTCAATAACCAGCGCGCACTGAGTTGGTAACTGGCAACAAACAAACAGTTGACCAGACCTTTTGGCCAGCAAATTTCGACTCTCAGTTGGTTGCTCTTTGCCTTATTATGTCTAATTAGATTGCGCTAGCTGCTGCTGAAGCTGTTATTGCTGCTGGAATGTTTTATTGTTACTTTGGGCTGACTTCATGGTTGAGCTGGGGCGAAAATCGATGATCGAAGTGGGGTTAATCTAAGGTGGCTGAATGGGTTGATACCAGCTATGATCCTATGCTGGTCTGCGTCCCATACCCAATAAACAGCTACGAAATCAAATCTCTTTACGAAATCAAGTTTTTCATATTCTTTCAGCCTAAAAAGTTTTGTTTTTGTATATTTAAAGCATGAGCAGAGTTTGTATATTCTTAACCACTTCTTATATATATAAAGGCCTTTAACAAATGGTGACTCAACTCAATGTAATATTTGGAAAATTCTAGCATCTTAATTTCATAAGAACTTAATTCTAACTCAGCTAACAAAACTTTAGCATATTAATTTCGGATTGTGTTTACATGCATATAAAAATAGAATTGCTTCTAGCCGGGTGCTTGAGTAGATGTTGTTTTTATCAATTGTTTGGCCCCTAGACACTCTTAACCTGTTTTCAAGAGGAGCCTTATTAAATATTCATATTTCAATGAGTAAATTGCCAAGCTCTCAAGCCCTCTTTGCCGCCATGCTGTTGTCAGCCAAATTTTTGACACGCATAAGCACTAAGCAAAAGCAAAAAAAAAAAAAAAAAAAAAAAGGAAACGAAACGAAACGAACAATTAAAAACAATCTGTTGTAGACTTGGTAAACGTGTGGCGCACTTTCGGGCCACATTAGTCTGGGCAATTGGCAAATTGAAAACTCATAAAAACTCTCACGTTTTGCTCTAAATTTTGTGGAACGCTTTTGTGCTGTGCATAATCAGCGGAGACCAACTGAGTGGGCTGAGCGAGATCCATAAAAGCGACGCCAGCTTAAGAACCCGCCAAGCAACCCACTGAACGCTAGAAGTGCCTGCCATTGAACTCTACACACGATTATTATGATGGCAAATGTGACCATAAAAGAGAGGAACTCAAACTCCAAACCCAAAACCAAACAACAAACCCAAACCCAAACTCAAAAGCAAACCAGAAGACTTGTTGCGAAGCGCGTGCAAAAGATATTTTTTTTTTATCAAATTGGCCGGCGGGCAGTGAAAAAATTGACGAGATTCTCATTCTGATTCAGATGCTGATTTCTGGTTGGTTTCCTGTGCGGTGCGGATTACTCGAGGCGTTCGGCTTGAATTGTCCGCTGGCTATGCAAATTTATGAAGCACATACAACCATTTGCACTACAACAAAATCCAGTCCCATACGGAGCGGAGCTGTTGTCCCACAAACACCAAAACCAGTGGCACTTTATTTTTCTATCCAAGCTACCGGGCAGATTCTGATAAAAATCGGCGACCGCAGCCCTGGTGGGCCCATCAGTCAAGCCGGTGCATTGAACCTGAAACATCTCACAGTTTTCACTCCAATCCATCAACTGCGGCAGCGATTCCAATGACGCGTGTAAAATGCGCGTGCCCCAGGGGAGACTCTAATGAATGGAGCACAGTTCCAGCTCAACAGCAACTGTACAATTTGTATTCTTATGATACTTTTTCTGCTATAATGAGCACAAGCAAATGCCAAAAAAATAAAATAAAAGTATAATAAAACAGAAAGAAGCAAATACAAAAATAATAGTTTCAAATCTCTTTCCCTTAATTGCTCTCCGTACGTTTTCGAAAGTGTCTGAGATTTTGCCAAAATTTATGAATCGTCAGACTTGCTGATTTCAAAAGTGTCAGAGATTTTGACAAAATTTATGAACCGGCATACTTGTTGATTTAACGGTCGATACGTGCTTTTTTCTTAATTTTTACCTGTCAATGAATTGAGTCAGTTTTCTGATCCTTATCGATAGGCGCTGTTTGTTTTTAAAGGAGCATTTTAAAGTTCTTTTATTTAAAAACGATCTACAAATAATACTGCTTTTATGATAATATAAGGAATAATATTTTGATACAACAAAACGAAAACCGATTAAATTCTTACTTTTATAAGCGGATTTATATTCTTTTATATATAAGAATAAATAAATTAAATTGTTGGATTAATAGCTCATTTTAATGAACACATCGCCTGTTAAATATCTACTGCATTTTAAAGACACTTTTATTAAAACTTTCACCATTAAATTATCACTCAATTAAGCAGGACGTCAATGAAAAGATTTTAAAAATTCTATAAAACTTTTTCATTTTCATTAACAAGTAATAAAAAACATCAAAATTAAAAGCAAAATGGCAGAATAATGTAATAAAATCTGGGACAATTATGAAGTTTTAAAGAACAACATTCACCTGAGGCGTTACGACGGTTGAGTAATTAATGTGGGAAACGTTACTAATTCTTATTGCTGTTGTTAATTTAATTTCTGGCGGCACTTTAAGCAGTGTTCCCAAAAAATAAAATAAAGTTAAAACAACAAAAGCAAAGGCAATGGCAAAGGCAAAGGCAAAGGCAAAAGCAATAACAGACCACAGCTAATTTCACGCTTCCTGTTTTGCGGCATTGGCTTTTTATTTTATTTTTTTTTCACACTGACTAATGTTGATGACATTTCGTCCGCTGTCTTTAACCGAAAGAGTCGTTGCACTCTCGTTTTGGGGAGCCAACGAAATGCAAAACTTGTTTTGTTATATACCGCAAGCTGCACTTAAAATGTGCTTAAAATCACATTAAGTACACATTTATATTACAAATTGTGCAAAGACTTGTTTCCATTTAAATTGTAGCAGTGGCGGGAAACTAGTATTATGTTGTGCTTATCAGACTTTAATTTGAATGGAAGTTTTCATTTGACGATAAGCTGGCCAATGGTAAACAAGTTTCATTAACTCAAACGCAAATTAGCGCAGTATTCCTGACGCACAACTAGAAACAACAAGCGCAAATCCAAATAGCAAATAGCGCAGTAAGTAAGGCGTACCATCTTAAAAGAACTGTTGCTGACCAGATATGAGTCAGTTCAAGAACGCACTTACCAAATAACGGTTGGCTTAAGGCCTTGCTGATAAAGCAAGCGACAAAAAGGCAAGAATTCGCAAAATTTGACTAAATATTTCCACGTGCTAACAAAATACCTAACTACAAAGTGCACAGTGACAAATACGCAATTGAATGTACATTATCTATAAGTTAAGGCAGCAACCCATGACGGTTAAGGCCAATATTGGATATCACAGTTATACGTAGTGTTGTCAAAAAATAAGCAAAAATTCAGTTTTTATAAATTGTTAAAATAATCAAAGATGTGTTCAACTTTTTCAAAATCGATGCAGGATAAATTGTTTTTTACGAACCAAAACAATTATGAACAATTTTAAAATGTACCACTCTCGTCGTGATTCAAATAACGATTACCCATTTGAGAAAAAATTAGTATATTTAATTTTATACAAATTAACAATGATTTGAAGCATTATTGAAAACGGCAAGCCTTATATTAAGTAAATCTAGTTAGCATACATTGAACGAGGTTAGATGCATAATTACTTCCGGCAACACATTCACTTTTTGGCAAAGAAGCTTGTGATGCTGCCCTGTTTGATTTTAGGCGTCTCCTTTGCGCTCTTGCTAGCTGCAGGCGGTGATTTTTTCTTTGTAGTTGCAGCTGCAGCAGCAGCTTTTGCAGCTGCTGTTGCTCCTGCTGTCGGCGAAGCCTTTTTCTTGGATGGCTGCATTGCTTTCTTAGCCCTTACAGTTATAACAAAGCCATCATCATCCAGAAACGTTTCATTTGTGTCCGCCTCCATTTCCACATCCCCCTCCAACTTCTCCTCCTGGGGCTCTGCTGATTTCTTTTGTGGCTGCTCATCATCATCAGAGTCTACAATGCGACGTCGCTTGCTACTACTAGTTGGCAACGCATTCGCCGTCTCATCTGACTCGTCACCTGAGCCAACCACCTTGCGTCGCAGCTTGTCCAGTTTCTCCTCCTCGTCGGAGGAGGCTTCGTCAAACAGCTGTATAGAGGTATTGTTGTTGCTGCTCTTGCTGGCAGAAGGTTCATCTTTTTTCATGTTGTTCGTAGGCGTCGGCTTTGCCTGATTTCCGCCGCTAGACGTTGGTTGCTTCTTGAAGAAGTTATCCATGCTGCTGCTCGAAGCAGGTTTGGCTGCAACAGCGGCTTTTGTTTCCTTTGCTTTGGCCGCAGGAGCTGCACTAAAGAAGCTGCCAATGCTGCCCTTCTTTGCGACAGCTGCTTTGCCCTTCTGCTCGCTTGGTGACGTTTTCTTTGGCTGCTCTGTGGGAGCGTCCACTTTACTGCTACTTGGTTCCGATGTTTCCGTCTTGACATTGGTGGGCTTTGTTGTTTCTGAGGGCTTGTGAATACCGTTGCTAACGCCCTTTGGTGTTGTGGCGCCGGCACGCTTTTCCAACTTGGCCAGTTGCACCTCCACCTGCTGCATGGGCTTAAAAATTGGCGCGGCACTCTTGGAACCACCAGCAATTTCCACTGAATACAGTTGCGATTGTGAGTTTTGCAATTTGGCTATCCATTCCTTTAGCTTGTCTTCGCCTTGCACAATCGTATACAGTTCACCACCATCTGTCTGATTTCCATACACGAGAAAGCGTTTCTCATATTTGTTGTTGGCGCTGGCGTCTTCCTGCTGTTTAATGTGCGCCTCGAGCAATTCGTGTACCTCTTTATACGTTAATTTGTACTCCTCCAACAAATCGGTGACCAGCACACGTCTATCAAAATCGATTAGGCAATCGTCAAGAGCCTGTCGCAATGACATTTTCTGTGTACCAATACAAATAAATATCGCTGAATTATAATAAAATTAATTTATTTGCCAAAATACGTACCAAAATTAATTCCGTCCGGTGCAAAAAGGCGCCCAAATGCCGACACGAACAGCTGTTGAAGTCTACTCGAACTGGTCTACATTAGAGATGAGCGATACTTATGTACTCACTATCGAACCTGTTATACAGTATTTAAATAACAGAATAGCATGTACAGTATAAAATGTAAACGTCTATGTTATTTTATTTACACTATAAGTTCTTGTTCGCTGCTTCGCTAATGGAGCTTTTTTTGTTACTCTCAAATATATTCTTATTTCTAATGATATTAATATTGTTTTAAAAATCAGTCACTACCGCAGTACCAGTTACACTCTTCACTCATTTTATTGTTGAAATTTTAAATACTTATGGCGCGCAACTGTTAACACATTCGCTGTGTAGTACACAATCAAAAGTATAGATGGCGCTGCTGTCTACAGCGGTGTTAATTGTCCGCTGTTTTCAAGCTTAAATTGCAACGTATTTGTATAAATTACAATTTTTAAATTGATTTTCTTTATGCAGCTTCAACATGCGTTTCGAGCCGCTGGGTCAGAAAATGTTCACACGTCGTAATTGGCTACTGCGCTGCAGCATACTCATAAACGTGGCCGTCCTACTTTACATAGGCTGCCTTGTGACAATTGGCGGCGGCAACAATTTCACTAGCGGCGGCGGCTTTCTGCTGCAGGAGCAACAGCAACAGCCGGCGGCATCCGCGTTGCAGGCATCCTCACCGCTGACACAACAGCAACCCACGCCCAAAAATGCTAATGTGAGTAATGTGCCAAATAAATATCAATATTAATAATAAGGTCAATTGAAATAACAAACAAAATAAATAATCTCCTATCTTGAACAGATAGAGGCGGCCTTTGCGGACGAGAAGCTTGCAGTGGGTACTGGCAATGCCAATGGGATTTCAAATATGGAGACAGTGGCGGCTGCAGTCGTCGCACCTCCACCCGCAGTTGCCAACGACAGCGGCTTGTCATCTAATGTGGCAGATGGCGTCAATGGCCAGGTGGTCGGCAACATTGGCAGCAGCAGTGTTGCCGCCGAGTTAAACAACACTCAAGCAGATAGCTACATAGTCACCGGCGATGAGAAGGAGCTGGATGAGCGAGTGCGGACGCTGCTCAATTGTATCGAGCACGACTACAATCAGCAGACGTTGCAACGCGGCGACTTCTGGGTGCTGCAAAACTATGTGCGAGCCGAGCACGGCGGACTGAAGTGCCACGAGTCCATCACGTATACAACGCACGCGGATTACACATTTCTCGACAATCTAGTGCCGCTGCTGGAACGGTAAGTTATTTCAAATTCAATGCTTAACCAAACTGAGCTGACTTGTTTTATTTATCTTTTTAATTTACAGCTGGAACGCGCCTATTAGCATAGCTATGCATGCGCCCGGTACGGATTTTCAGCCCACGCTGGATTCCATTAAGTATCTGAGGGATTGTGTGCCTGGAAATCAGTTGGTGCGCGCTTTTGCCACCTTCCATGTTTACTTTGGCACCAAGCACATACCCAAGAGTGTGCCCAAGGCACAGGATGCGCTCAAAACGGGCTACAACTGTTCGCTGCCAGCGCCATATTTTAATATCAGCTCCGGGCATCTGTATAAGGCGCAGAAGAAGCTACTGTATCCAGTCAATGTGGGTCGCAATATTGCACGCGATGCAGCACTCACGCACTTCATACTCGCCTCGGATATAGAACTGTATCCGAATCCCGGACTGGTCAAGAAATTCCTCGAGATGATTGCTCGCAATGAGCAGTATCTGCGACGAAAGGCTCCCAGGTGAGTTTTGCTTCCAATTGTCACATTTCCTCATGCTGATAACCCTCAGTCCTCAAGAACACCTGAAGGAATGTGAAATTTAAGAAATGTAACAAGCTTGTTTCGAATTTGGCAAAGTTCAAGAAACTTGCAGAATTATTAGGCAAAAATAACATATGTATAAGTATAAGAATTTGATGAAACCAGACGAAGATTTTTGTTTGTTAAATGTAAGTACTTAAATTATCCAAAATTATATTAACAGCTATACTCAACTCTTATCATAGTAAAAATAAAAAAGAAATAAGTGAAATATAGCAAACATATTAAATATTAGCAAGAAATCATTGCATTGCAGTTAAATTAAGTATAATTTGTTTTTAATTATTTAGGACTTGACATTTGACATTAACATTTTCAATAATTATTTATTTGCATAACATTCGCACAGAGTCTTTCCACTCAGCATTTTTGAGGTGGATGAGAGTTCGCCGGTGCCGCACGACAAGACGGAGCTGCAGGAGTTTCTGCGCAGTGGCAAGGCCATACCGTTCCACAAGCGAGTGTGTGCCAGTTGCCATGGTGTGCCCAAGTCCAAGGAGTGGATGGCGGCAAATGAGACGGACGAGCTGAGTGTGTTTCACATAGGCAAACGCACCGGCTACTATGTCCACTGGGAGCCCATCTATATCGGCACCCATGCGGATCCCCATTACGATGAACGGCTCAGCTGGGAGGGCAAGAGCGACAAGATGACGCAGGTGAGTAACAGTTAAATACACATTTAAATAGTTATCTAAATGCTCATTTCACTCATGCTCAGGGTTACTCGCTGTGTGTGCTGGACTACGAGTTCCACATACTGGACAATGCGTTTCTGGTGCACAAGCCGGGCATTAAAGTGCTGAAGAAGGATAATCGACGAGCGATGTTGGCGGGCAAAACGAATCAGCTGATACGCAAAATTATCTATCCGGAATTGAAGATCATGTACGGCATGCGCAAAGGCTGCGCAATATAGTAACTAATTGTGAAGCCAAGCTGAGCACCGATTTCATTCAGTGAGAGGTTAGCGAAAAGACTACAACAACTAAAACAACAAGATACACTATTTCTATTTGCAATGCTATAGAAACAAAACAAAACAATACAATACAAAACAAAACAAAACAAAACAAAACAAAACAAAACAAAACAAAACAAGACAAGACAAGACGAAAAGATGATAATGCCGTTCGCTGTTCTATATACATACATATCCATATGCATAATGTAATGTAATGAGTGTGTGTGGGTATGTATGTTCTACAGTTAGTTAGTGTTAGTTAGTTGGTTAGCTTAGTATTAGCTGAATTACATAGGTTTATAGGCCAGTAGAGTTCGGAGCGGGTGTTTTTTCTACTCTATGCATAAGCGAAGCCTTAGGAGCACGGCTTAAGTACGTTAAACGTAGTTAGTTGTTGGTTTTTTTTAAAATGCTGAATGTAGTTAGTTAGCCAGGTTAGTTAGCTGCCATACAGCTGGAATGTCGCGCTTTGAGCTTAAATGAAGACAAAAAAATAAACAAATAAAAAAGTTAAGAGATACGGCAATTTTCATTCAGAGCCAGGCTAAATGCGTCCTATTTTTGACTTCAAGAATTCCTCTGCAGTCCACAAGTTGCACTTTTTTTATACTGATATACAGTCATTATAATTTAGGTTTAGTTCTACACACAATTTGTATGTACTCGTTAGCCATTTATCTTATGTTAGTTAGCTGATTTATCATGAATGGAATATCATTATAATTAGTGAGTTGAAGTTGATTTTCATTAATTTTTTACTTCCTCCGGAATACTCAAATATATACTTTGCATCAATTCCAATTCCAAAATTTGTATACCAACTGCCATTTGAATGATTAAATGATAGATTAGCTCTTCAAGACACAATATATATACAGAGATTCCTAGCCACAATAGTCTAACCATTTATATGCATACCATTTAGGTCACCAGGTTGGCTGATTGACACACCGACATTTTCAGAGTTTAAGTTTCAAAGCAAATAAATTTGGTTAAAAATAGGTAAAAAAAAAAGCAGTAACAATTCAAAATAAAATCCTCTACAAAATAATGGTTTAAATATTAAATACATTAAATAGACTTGGGAAATTTAAAAAAGACGTTTGAAATTAGAATGCTGAAGATTTGACATGATGCGAAAAATACATATAAAACATAATACTAACAAGTATTTAGAATTAAAAGGTAATAACATGAAATACAATTATAAAAACCTTGAGTATCAAGTTCGTGTTAATGCCTAAAATTAAAAACCAATTAATTAAAAAATACGTTTTAAGGCGTAAATGCAAACCGTGATATTTGTACTAGTAATGGCGAAGATTAGTTTGAGCATTAATTATAAAATTCAACTTAGCCAGTAAGAAGCGAAACGAAATGAAGCGAATAGAAAAAAATAAAAATAAAAAATAAAAAAATTATAGGCATTAAACTAGTTTTGTATATGCTTTTTTTAGTGTTGAACTTAAAGTCAAACCTGTGCACATATAAATGTTAAAAACATAACGAGAAGTCGAGACAAACACTAAAATTATGCGGCGCTTTTGTGTTTTTGTTTTTTTTTTTTTTTGTTGGAGCTGCTGACAATTGAAAATGTTAAAGTCGCTGAAACAATTGTCTAGCTTCGTATGCTTAACAAATTTTGAAAGTGTCTTGGGAACAAAATACAACAACATTTGGTGTTTGTATCTATTGTATGCCTATGTATAAGCCTACACCTAAGCCAGTAATCAAAACATGAAAATCGCCAAACAATTTTATGCGCTCAATTGTTACAAAAAAAGTTAGTACATCCAAATAAATTTTTATTAGCCCAACAACAGAAAATTCCAAAATAAATAAAACTATATCAATAAAAATTAATATTAAAAAAGAGAGAATATAAAACTATTGAGAAAGTAGCTAAAATAGACCCAATAAAAAGTGTTACAACAATTTAAACAACAAAGAATATAAAAATACACAAGAAAACAAAAATTATTGATAAAGTATTAAAGTGCCTTAGAGAACGAAATAATAAATGAAAAACTAAAATCATATAAGAGGAATCTTAATTAATGCGGCAGTGAATTGTATTTCAGTTGTATTTTTATAAATAATTCACAGACACCTTTTGTTGTGTTGGCTTAGCGGCATATTGTTCTGGCCAAATTACATAAGTCAAAAAAGATTTTCGTAAAACATAGAGAGCATTATTTTTGTATGTAAATAATTATATAGTATGTATTTAATATTAAGATACATATATTATGTGCAACAAAATGTATTAAGCTATTTGTATATACGTATGTGTATGAAGATTTCAACTAATTATTTACTTAAACAAAACCTTTTTATATAGTTTTCAAAACGACTTGAAATTTAAGCTGCAGTTAGTCGAAGTCATGCCCTATTGAATGAGTCTTCTTATAGCTAGCCTGCCAATTTTATGTTTAATATAACTATTATTACATATTTCAATTATTATTAGTATGATTATTACGTATCAGTTAAGCACTCGGAAGTATATGCGTTAACGTTTATCTTGTTTAGGCCATAAATATCATGAAAACAACTCTAACCTAAAGCCTTTTTGGGTTCCTTTGAGCGCAGCATTTTACTCATCGTTTATATGATTAGTGGCAACATTTCGAAACAATTGCTGAGCAAGAACTATTAGCTGAAATTTAAGAAAATTCACAAAATTATGTGAAACGATGTCTATGCATAAGAATTGTAAAAATAAAGAAAACAATATCAAACTGCTTACACGACTTGATTATTTACAAACGCTTAGGTTTAGGTTAAGAGAATGCAATTCGATTCAAACTCATCATATCCTACAAAAATGAGTAAGGATTTGGCCGAGTTAGAGCTATTTTTATAAGCAAAACGTGATTCAAAAATTAGACGTACAGAAAATTGCTCATATATCTGCTAGCCCTACCAACTGGATAAAGAACATTCAAATCGTTCTTGTAGTTTCACCACACGAATCACATTTTTACCAGTGTTTGGCCTTATCGATTGATTTCATCCTTGTGATTCTGACCCAAGTCCTGCGATATTTTCATTTTTCTCGTCGCCTGTGTACCCCTATAAGTATGCCGCATCTTTTAGCTTTAGGGTAATTTAGCTAATGCAGAAACCTGAATTAGGTCACTGGTGCGTGCACATGCTATCAACTTAACCGCAACCTGCAAAGACAATGCGTAATGACAATGTTTCGAAATCGACAAGCGAAAATAACGGGTTTTGGTGCACGAAGTGTTTTTTTTTATGGGTAACTTCATTTGTAAGGCTTGTGTTATTGCTTAAGTACCAGACACTTATTTTACTTATTGTGATTTCAATTTTAAAAACTTCCTCTGCGCTTAATCACATTCAATGTTTTTAATCACATACTGTATGACGACATCAGTGCATATTTTAAGTAATTATGCACAAAAATCAAGTGAATTCTTAATTCGCTCGAAACAATCAATATAAATTTAAAGACACGCTTTTATCTTGTTATTAATCTGTTTAGCCAACACGATGTTCAGATTTCTACGAATTATAAGCAGACAAATTGTCAAAAATTTAACAAAAAAAAAAAAAAAAATCCCAAAGCTGCTCACGTTGAGTTCCAAATTCAAGATCAGATCAGCGAAGACGACTCTGACACAATACAATGGTGTAGCCCCGCACTTGGCACAGCCGTAGGCTCTGGCATGCATGGGCGCAGCTCGTCCCCGTCCTTGACTTTAATAGTTAACTTGATATTTTCGGGTTTTCTGTCAGATTTCTTAGTGTTTCTTGTTTTTTCTTCTTTTTTCATTTTTTCTGAACGAAAATAAGAGTGCCAAAAATGCTAATTCGATAGATGGCATTTCAGCATTTGTTTAACATAAATTAAACACAACTTTTTGATTAATACTAAGACAGTTGCTAGCCCAACCGAATACAACCAGTTGGTGTCTTGATCTGCCATTGACTCATCTCGAGAGAGAGAGAGAGAGAGACGAGCTTCGTATTGCGTATTATTTGTTTTTGTTTTATGCCACTCGGTCATTTCTAGAAGCTGCCGGCTCCCTCTCTCACGCTCGCGCACTCTGTGGTTTGTTTGTTGTTGGTATGCGCTTTGGTTATTTATTAACATGTTTGCTTTTTATTGCAACAGCAGCGATAAAAGTAGTCGTTGTCGTATACGTAACCAAAGTAGAAGAAGATCACCAACTGCGTCAACCACAGTGTCGGCTCATGCTCATCCGCTTCTGTTTTTTTTTTTTTGTTGTATGCGTCGCTTGCCATTTTACCAGTTAAGATCTGAGCCGCGCATCTATCGCAAAACAGTCGAAATTGTCTGCTCGTTGCTTGCACATCGCGTTCGCTTTCCGCAACTGAACGGAACGTAGTGCCTAAGGACTGCGCCTGAAGGATAACCACCTTAATAACTACGTTCACACACACACACAGTCGTTTAACATGGCTAAAATAATAATCAGTGCTTTGTTGTGCCTGGCCATGTTTGGCTCATTGGGTTAGTAAAAACGAAATTCCATTCCACAACCAATTCCATTCCGTAACGAAAGACTCTGGCGACAAACTTGTCCACATTTGTCAATATTTAAATTGGATGTGGGTATACTTTAAGTGAATTGCTCTATCAAGTTTTAAGTTAATTTTTGCAAACTATTAAATATTATATATTATACAGTGATTCAAATGTGTATGAAAAAATACGTCGTTTTTGTATGCTTATAATTCTCTTACTTTTTTGTTAAACCAAATCCAATGCAAAATTTACCATTGAATCAGAAATCATCATCAAATCAGGTTATAAAAACAATCGCATAAATTTTAACTCAATTTAAATTCAAAGGTTAAGCTGAAAAGCAAATATGAAAATAGATAACTATTAACTTGTTTTTGCTTTATTGAATAATCACAAAGTAGTCAAGTAATTTAGAATCCAAACACGTTTTTTTCTGGTTTACGCATACGTTCGGAAATTTAACAAATTCTAAACACATATCCCAAATATTTCATATATGAATGTACAAATATTCTCAATTATCTCATAAAAAAAATATTTAAATATATAAAATTCAATTCAGTTGAAGTCTAAGATTGCAAAAATGACAATCCCACTTCAAAATGTAGAAATCGTCGTTTAATGAATTTTGAATAAGCCTTAACTATTATGCCAAAGCACATTAAACTAAACGTTTAACTATATTGACGTCCCACGCTCTTTCAAAAACAATACAATAATAATTACATCAATTAGAGGCGCCACCATTGAAAGTGCAAGTCTCAGCCTTAGAGAGCATCAAACAAAGCCCGACACCAACACACATTTCCCCAACTGCATTATTCATTTCATGCAAACAAAACAATAACTCAACTGATCGAACAACGTCATCTTGCAATTAAGCAACTGCCGCTGGGATGGGCATAAAATGGGAGCCACCCCATGTGAATGATTTTCCAACAATACCAGGAAATTGCATGGGATGGAAACTGTCCAAAGAAAAGTGCAACTAATCAGCGCAAGCTTTGGCAATATATTTGCCTGTCGATTTCCGCATGAAAAACACAAAAATGTGAAAATATAAAAAATTGCATTTAATATGTTAAATCAGTGAGCGTTTTCAGCTCCATCTTGTTTCAAGGTCGAATGGCAACTCTTTTAAAATAAATTCACACGCCGCTAGCATCGCATAAGTAAATTAGTACCCAAAATCAATATTACATAACATTTGCTGCTGACACTGTTGCTGGGACTGTCGCTGTTGCTTTTGATTTTGCTTTTGCTTTTGCTTCTTGGTCCATTGTGGCTGACTGCTTACTGTTGCTTATTGATATGCCGTGAAACAAGTTTTTGGCCTGGACAGCTACCTCAATCTCAATCTGAATCGCGATGCGTGCCCAGCCGGTTGACGTGACCTTTGAGCGCGTTAGCATTCAAGAGCTTTTTTTTTTTATTAAACGAGTGTTTTGTTTTGGCCAACTCATTGAATTCAATATAAAATGATGATGATGACCATTTGTGTTGCACTGAAATTAAGGGAGACAGCCGCACATGTGCAGATTCCAGTGAATGTTGTTCACTTCAATGTGTGGGAAAATGTTGTGTTAGTGCTTGCGGCAGATAAGTTTCGGTATCCAACAAGTCTCTAAAGATTTATCATAGCTTGTTGCTGTAATCCAATATATATTTATATATGTATAAATAAATGTTGTTGTACATGCAAATGAGTTTCAAATAAATTGAAATTTAGCAAATGAGATACGATTTAAATTTTGTTCACAATGTTCGATGGTTTTGTAAGATTCCCATTAAAAATGATTGTTGAATAAAAAGCATGGGATTCCCCAGTGGAGCCCCACAGCGTAATTGGCTTAAGTATCTTTTGTGTACACTTTTTGCAGACACAATGCCAACTAGAGTTCAATAAACGGGGTGTGTACCCACACTTAACAGCCTCAAGCTCATTAAAATTTCCAAAGATGACAACAGTTACAGACGGACAGACTCAGACATCCAATATGTCCATATGTACATGTCTTGTCAATTTGATAATGGTCTCTTCTTGTGCGTGTTTCTAGTCTCTTTCCTCTCATGGATGATTCCACTATGGTCATGAATGAGAGGAGTGCCTTAGAGACGCCGTAACACTTGAAGATATTGGCTTCATTCTCAATTATAGAAATGAACTTGAAAATGTATCCATCAATATACTCTTGCTGGCGATGTTCCTCCAGTTCGCTTGGCGCTTGGACGCCAGCAAGTTCCATGCCAACAACACGATCTCACAGAATACCTTGCCAATCGCATAATTATAATAAACATTTAGAATATTCCGAATAATAATAATATGCATTCCATTTTTGAACATAGTTGTTGTATTTATTTGTAGAATAAACTCGAATCCTTTCATATACACCAACTACAATCATTTAAAGATGGTGTTCTTTATGATTTGATCCAATTTATTTGCCATGTAGTACTTAGAAATTATAAACTCTTTGTGGATGATAATATGTATATCCATTGCGACGTCGAAGATATCTAAATAAATAGCTGTAAAATATTAGTGTGTACTTTAATGTTAATAAATACAGCGTAAACGCAACCCGAAATGTATTTGTTAAAATAAGAAATATTTTATTTAAAGTTGTTCAATTGTTCGTTCATTTGCATAAAGTTACAACAAAAAAGAAAAAAAAGAAAAGAAAATAATGCAGAAATATTGCAAGCATCAGTTTTCATCATAAATCATTAGAGGTAAGCCCAACACACTCCCAAGCCCGACCCTATTAACATCCAGACCTATCCGCCTCTCTTTCAGCCCAAGCAGCTGGTGGCTGCCGGGAAGCCAACGGCACTGCTCCCGTCTCCGGCTCCTGCGATGCCTACATCGAGTGTAAGAATGGCGTCGCCGAGGAGAAACTCTGCCCGGATGGCCTACTTTATAACGAGAAGTCCACCGGTTACCCATGCGGTTATCCCATCGATGTGGAGTGTACACAGGCACAGTCACGCCTGCAGTCTGCCCAGCCCACCGAAGATTGTCCGCATCAGTTTGGCTACTATCGCATGGGCGATGCTAGCCACTGTGGCCAGTTCATGAATTGTGCGAGTGGACGCGGTTACGTCTTTGACTGTCCGGAGGGATTGGCATGGAATGCGGCCACATACAAGTGCGACTGGCCCGATCAAGTGGAGGATTGCGATGCTGAGGCCTTCCTTGGCTTCAGTTGCCCAGCCCCAGGACAGAAATCGGATCTGTTGGGAGAGCAGGAAGCGGATTATACGTTCCATCCGTCGTCGGATAATTGCCAGGTGTACTTCATCTGCATTGAGAATCGCCCGCGTCGCATTTCCTGTGGCGAGGATCAGGCCTTCAATCAGGAGACTATGCAATGCGACGACATTGACAATGTGCCCAACTGCAGCAACGACATTCGCGCCAAGGGCGCCGAGATCAAAGCGGCACGCGCCAGTGCCGCCGCGGGACGCAAGGCTGCCGGAAAACTGCACTAACCGTACCACTAAGGAAAAATCAACTAGGGAGGAAAGTGGAAGCTGATTTTGAATCAGAATTCAGATTTTGGATATGCAAAGCACGCAAAAGAGCTGCTCGAGTTTTCTAGTCTGTAGTTAAAAGGGTCATTGTGCCAGTTTATTGTATACAATTTTGCCATTCACAATTATAATAAATAAATGTCGACATTTTTGTAACAAGTGTGTCTCGTTCAAGTCTTTTGTTTGGTTAAGGAAATGCTTGTACAAATATTTAACTGTATTTATTAAATTGTTTCCCTCTTCCAATTGCAGTCCGTGCTTCACCCGAGTGCCCCATACCCAACGGACGCTTTGCCAGTGGAGAGCAATGTGATGCGTACACCGAATGCCAGGACGATGTGCCCATTGCCAAACTCTGCCCGGATGGGCTGCTCTTCCATCAGCGAACCAAGGCCACCGGTGAATGCACTTATGCGCCATACTCCAGCTGCAAGGAGCGTGCACGCCTCCAGCCGGCCAACGGCACCGAAGAGTGTCCTCGCCAGTTCGGCTTCTATCTGAATGGTGATGACACCAAGTGCGGCGTCTATCGCAATTGCGCCCATGGTGTCGCCAGTTTGACCAAATGCCCCGAGGGACTGGCCTTTAACGAGGAGACCTATCAGTGCGACTGGCCCGATTTGGTGGGCAGCTGCAATGCGGAGGCTTTCTTGAATTTCAACTGCCCTGCACCGGAAGCCGCTGATGGTGAGGCACCGTCAGTTGATGTTGGTCCTGAGGGCGATTTACGCTATTATCGCCATCCACAAACCTGCAAGAAGTACTTCGTGTGCGTCAACGGACATCCGCGCCTCTACAACTGCGGCAAGTACCTGGCATTCAATGACGAGACGAAGCTCTGCGACTTCTACAACAAAGTGCCCGAGTGCTATGCCCTGCTCAAGGAGAAGCAGAAGCTGAAGGCTGAGCGCAAGTTGCCTACCCTGGGAGAGGCCCTGGCATAGGACTCTCCAGTTAAGTTGAGCATTTTCATAGAGGCTGCGTCTTGTCGAGATTTCCCTTTTTAACAATAAGAGTTGTGCAATTCATTTTGTAAATATTTGAATACATACTTATTATATCCCATACTATTTGCGTATTGTTTTTTAAATAAATGAGAATTCCTACGCATTTCTTTAAACGAAGTTTTAATTTCAATAACATTTTTAATGACCATGTTATGGGTAAACTAATAAACAATGTTGCATGACCTATCAGGTTTTCAAATTATGCATAAGGACCAGAAGGAGCCAAAATTATTAGCCCAGATGTCGAAAAAATCCTTTCTCATGCACTTGTAATAAAATTGTTTGCAGGTTTTAGGTTTTGTAAGATTTAAATTTTATTTTTATCATCGCTTGTCGTTTTGGTTTATTAGTTAGTTTATACTTGTTGCTTACTCGTATTATTATAATTTATTGGTAGATATTAATTCGAATTATGTCAATTTTACATGGTTTTTGACTTCCAACTGTCTCCACAGATCCCTCATTAAACATTACATTTTTAAACTTGACCTCACTGGCTGCTGCTATACAACACCATAATGTGGTTAAAAATATTACAGTTTAGAGAACTAATGCAAAATGAATTTCTTTCGCTTTTAAAAGTTTTTGAAATAAATATAAGCTCGAATTTGTTGTTAAAAAACATTCCTCTGTTATCACTAATTAACCAATTGATTTTTGTAAAATTTATTGGAGTTACTTAAACTAAACGATCCAAAGATCCAGTTATTCTCCGCTCTCTTCTTCATATGCTTTTGCTTCATTTTTCATTTTTCATTTTTTTTGGCTATAAAAATTAAGTTACATTTAGGTTTGCTTTTTGAACTTTTTGCACTATTTTTCTGCATGTGTGTGTGTGTGTGTGTCTTTGTTTGTGTGTGTATATGATTAAATTACAACAAATAATGAATATTTAAGTTTAAGTATTTGCTTTAGAGTATGTTTTGTATGGTTTTACAAATTTTTCTTACCGTTTCGTTTCGTTTTGTTTGTGGTGCTAGGCTAAGGCGACTTTTGTTTGGTTGTTTCACTTTGTTTGTTTTCATTTTTTGTTTTACATTTTGCAATATATTCAACATTTGTTGTTTTCTCTGTTGTCGGTTGTCCGTTGTCGTCATCTCGTCAGTATGTCTAAGTAATTTCTGTTTTCCATTCTCATTTTACACAAAAACGAATAATTTGCATTTGAACATAGGCATAACCAAAAATGTCAACTGAAAACTTTTGCAATGTTAACAAAAATATTTTAAAAAAATAAATAAATAAATAAAATACATCTTTTAGTCGTTACAATTTGTGCTAGAAATTCGGCTATTAAAATTATTTAAGTTCATACCACGTCTCGTTTTTCATTTTATTTATTTTTTGTTTTGTTTGAGAAAAGTTTTACACATTTTTTTTCGTTTTCGTTTTCGTTTCGTATCGTTATCGTTATCGTTTTTGTTTTCGTTTACGTATCGTTTTTCATTTAACATATTCAGTCTTTCAGCTTTCAACATAAATAAATTAATTAAATTAATTTATTTAATTGCATTACAAAATGTTCAAGTGATGCGGCCTGTAAATAATTTCGTGTTCTATTGCATTTATGTGGTAATTTTCGTGGTCTGCCTTACGTTGCTCGTTTTAAAGTTTATAGCCAAAAAGTTGTTGATCTCAAACAGCGACGGATCGCATTTGAAGAAAATTTTGAAAAAATTTCATCCTTAGTCAAAGTTGGTTGTAAAAGCCAAAAGTTTGCTTGCTTGCTTAAAGTACTTAACTTAATACTAGATTCTCGGGTTTATCATTTACATTTAATTGTAATAATTATATTTGCTTGTAATGTTTCTTTTATATTATCCCTTTTCTGTTTGTTTTATATGCGTTCATTTATCTCATAAACTGCTTAGTTTTTCGCAATTTTCCTGCGTTTGCTAAATTTAATAACTTCTCAAGTGGACGTACGCCTTATTTATGTGTTCTTTTTTTTTGCATTTTCTTATCATTTTGGATTATTCAAAAAGGTTGCTTAAATTTAGTTAATATACTCGTATTTTATGTATAGTAAATATATAAAATTTTGTGTCCAAATTCAGTTGTTTTTAGGAGTTATTTGTTGTTGTTGTTTTAGTAAGTAAATCAAGAAGATACGGCCAGAAACATAAAACTCACCAGAGTTAAACATCCGATTGGAACGTACCATCAAAATTCTGACTGTGATTTTGGCATTAAGTTAATTTAGTTTTCGTATATTTTAGTTTTGGGTGGGGCTTACGTTTATCATATGCTACATAAGTATCTTTCCGTGGTGTTCCTATGTCAACATAAAAACTTGTTGTCAAATCTTTTCTTTTCTTAGTTTGTGCTCTCTTTTTGTTCTTACTGTAAGTATAACCGGTCTCTTGTTTTTGTGTTAAGGCAACTGCTTTTGTTACTGAATTTGTAATTTGTTGTTTGTTTTAGTTTGTAAATTTTTTTTCTTATTTTGGAATTTTTACAATTTGATTTGGAACTGCATTTTTGGATTTGAATTTCGTTGGTCAACTTTTGCTATTTCAACTAAATAATTACAAGTCTCTTAAAGCATATCATAAGCAGCCAGAAAGTGGTTTCATTTTTGTTTGACTCCTAAAAACAACGAAACATTTTTGCTTTTGCGGTTGCAAAAATTTAGCTGTGCCTTAAGTGTTAGTTTTAATGGAAATTTCGTTTATCAATATACTAGACTGTTATATATTTTTCCGTCATATATAATTTTGAATTTGATTTTCGGGTTTCTCGTCAAATTTTGCAATTTCTTAATTATGTTTAAAATACTCTTTAATCGTAAATTGAAAGGAAATTATTAAGAGCTTAATTTTTTGGCCTAAATTTAATGCAGTTTACAATTCGCATATACATCAATTTTTTTTTTTTGGCATAATTCTTGTTTTATTATTTGATTTCATTACGCATTTTTGTTGCGGCATTTTGTAGTTGCTGTTGCCCGCTTACTTAAGTTTAAAATTATATTTGAAAATTATTCAACGCACGGTAAAAGTCCGATAACCTTTATGATGCTTAATTAATTGAAAAAATATTTATAAATAAATAGAAATCACACAAATGATAATTTGACCAAATATGAAGAATCTTTAATGGGGGTTTGAGTAATAAAATGTTTCATTATAAATCATCATAAACTTAACATTAATAAAAATGTAATAAGAATTTGGTTAAAGCAATAAAAATTCAACATAATTGTTATTTAAACTATAAACTAATTGAAAACACATTCGGAAGGTAAATTTGTTAAGGTATAATTTGACAAGCAATTGAAAAATATCATAAAACAATGGAAAACTGTTATTACAAATTATTGTAACTAATGCAAAAACCATAAATTGGGCATCGCGCTGCATTAATGGAACTTTCGCTTTTTTCCGCCACGCTTCTTTCCCTTGCCGCGTGCCTTGGTCAGTTTGCGTTTTTTGCTAAGGCCATCTCCACGCAGCGCAGACTCGCGGCTAATCTCGCCAAGAATTTCATCACCCACATTGCCTGCCAAATGGATAAGAGTTGAGCATAAGCTGTATGAAATTAACATTTCGTACGTGAGTACTTACCCAATGAGGTGAGCTGACGCTGACGATGCTTCTCCGCTTTGGTCACTGGCAGACGCACATAATATTTCTCCTCGTACTCCTGCTTCTCCTTCTGCGCCTGCGAGAGCATCTGCTGAGCACGTGAGCCCGACGACAGCTCAGTGGGCGCATCCAAGTACTCCTCCTTCAGATCTTGCAGCATAGATGAGCTATATATAGAATTAAATGAAATATATTCTTTGGTTTTGGCATCATTACCCAGTTAGCTTACGTGATTGCACGCTTCTTGGCACGATCCAGAGCCTTCTTTTCCTTGTCCGCGTCGCGCTCATCGCCATCGTAGTAGACGGGCTTAATGCGTGGCGGCACATAGACGCCCGATTTGCCTGCGGTGGCTGCTTTGCGCGGCTTTTTCGCAGCGCCTGCCTCATCATCGTCCTCGTCTTCATCGTCATCATCCTCGTCCTCATCGCTGCCGCTGCCTGCCTGGTCGTCATCATCCTCAGCACCGCCAGCGCCAGCAGTGCTGAGCATGTCCTCCGGATTTGGCTTATAGAGTATGGGATCTGTGCTACTGGATACGCCTGTAGTTGCTGTCTTGACCAGCTTGTCAATCTGATAGCGCAGCTTGTAGTCTATGGGCCGTATCTTCTCCAGCACGGTGCGTATCTCGATCAGGCGCTCAATGGAGGGATCACCCTCAATGGTCTCGCCGGAGCACTTGCGCAGCACCACGTATGTCAGATTGATTAAATAGTCCAGCAGCATATGATACTTGACCTCGAGAAAGCTCAGTCCGTATTCGGTGCTCAGCTCGCCACGCTTGACGCGCTGCAGCATGCCCTCAACGAGATCTGTCACCTGCTTCACATTGCTGTTCATCTCACCGAGCAGCTGAATAGCCTGCGGTATGTCCTGCTGACCCTGCACCTCACAATCGTAGTCCAGTGCCTGTGCAATGAATTTTAATTTGTGGGATTAATATTTTGTGATTACATTTAATAATATTGATTTAATTGAAGCAAGACTATTTAAATAATATATTTAAAATATACGTAATATTTCTATTATACACCCGTCATAAGCATTTCTAGAAATTTGTATTGATGCTATTCTATTTTATTCAGTTTGCTTACCTCATGCATTGTTAGCATGGACTCTTGTCTATGCTAACAAATGGTAATGATACTTTTGACTAATATAAAATGTAGCTTACACAATTGTCGCACCTAAGCAATATACTACTATATGCATGAATGTATAAATATATATATATATATATACATATATATCAACTAATTATGGCTGTGAAACCAAAAATAGCTCATTGGCCAATCGCCATCAGCTATATGTGTAGTTGTCTCGCTTGCACTGCTGTCCCCTATTATATTGGTCATTATCATATTTAACAAATTTTGTGCACAGGAAATTAAATTTGCTACGCAAATACACAAATAACTTGTTTAGTATATGAAATGCCATAAGCAGATAGCAGAATGCATTCTCCCTACAGTTGATGCCACTTCGGCCCACATTACCATCATCTGCCCCTTCCCCTGTCTGTGTCTATGTCCCATGTGCCTCCATGATGCATGTGCTGCATCTGTGTGTTGTATTTGTCCTGTGAACGCGACACCGCACAACACATTTGCATATTTTATTGGTTGCCATTTAATTATTCGCATTTTATAGCATTTTTGGCCACGGCCCTACCCGCAGACCCCCCTTTAGTCAAACTGCCTTTTAAAACCCGCAGCTTATGCTGCATTTATTTTCAATTAATATTAATAAAGCAATGAGGAGGGAACGCTGGTTTGTCCCTGTCACATTTATTTTTAGAGATTAATTGCAATTTGTGAAATGAATTGATAATTTTTTGTTGTTTTGATATTGATGCTGTTTTGTTTCTGCCATTCGCGATGATTAGCGAAATATGCAATTTCCAAGGCAATTTACCAAATAATTATTGTGATAACAATTCTTTGAGTATGTTCGTGTTTGTTTCCTACACATAAATATACAATTTTGACAAATTTATATATTATTGTTGGCAAATTAATTTAATTGCATTTCGCTGACAGACATTAAATAACAAAGTGCTTCGAAATTGTGACTTAATTGATGTTTAGCTGGATGAAACACATCGAAAAGCTACAAAAATGGTATTTCTGTACTGCTTGATTGAGTATAGCCAGGGAAAAGTACTTTGAATTGAAAACTCGAATATGAAATATTAAACTCTGTGAGAGTGATTGAGATAGCTTGGAGTTCAGTCCTTAAGTTAACTAAATTTTGAAGTTTTCCAATTGCAAAAAAATAAAAACAGTTTCCATATAAAATAGGCTTCAGAAATTATTATTATTTTTATATAAGTGGAAAATTGTAATATATACAAATATTTTCTGTTAAAAGTATATCATTCAAACTGTATATTAAATTACACATATTTAATAGAAAAAAAAAGCAAATAAATTGCGATATATATTAATTTTATGTAATGAATTCTTTGAGGGTTTATCTTGCAATATTTGAATTAGAATTATGATACATTTTGAGTAAACCATGATTAGTAAGCCTTTAATGTAGTAGCTTTGATTTATTCAAATCTTTGTCAGAGTCAAAGCTAATACTGTTTGAGAAGCTTTCTTAATGCTAATTTATAATCGCATAAATTTTGAAGCATTTTACAATTTCTATTCGAAGTTGTTATTGATGCGTTAGAGGCCGGGCAATATGCAATTACAATTAAGCCTGCGTCACGCACTCGACTAGTTGCCACGCATTGTGTGTGATTGGAGCGGAAAGGGGAGTTGTGCTGGGTTGGTGAACTAAAGAAGGATCAAGATAAAATGCGTATGTGAGCATATTTTAGGCGACAGCCAATGCTAAAACTAACTGTAAACAAACAGCAACATCAACAGCAACAGCAACAACAATCGCACATAGAACATATGAAGGCATCGCTTTCCTAAAACTGTCCCCTGCGAGCCGCAAAAGCGGTTTGCATGCGTATAACGATGGCCGATTATTTGAGTTGCCTCGTTACACCAACACAAATAACAACAACAATAACAGCAACAGCAACAACAACAACAACAGCAACATCTGTACATCCGTACTGCTAACGGCAATTTACAACAAATGGCCCACACACACACACACGCACGCACAAACAGCATTTAGAGGTGGCCGCCCTCACAGACAACGTGCCAATAATTTTAAATTCGTGGCACTTTTTCAAATGCAACTGCGACTGCAGCAACAACAACGGAAACAACAAGCTGCGTTTGTTGTTGTTGTTGCCGCTGTGTTGCTGCATTTGCATTAATGGTTATTTGGAAATGCATTTTATGCACAGGCCGTTGCCTGTAAGTAGGCAACGAATTGAACTCGCGCACACACACACACACACACACACAGGCAAACACATGTATTGGTGTATATACATCCTTTTGCTGTCTCTGTCTCTGTGGTTCTTGCGTGTAAACTGGTTTTAGTTCCTTCTATATATTTTTTTTGTTTGAATTAAATATGAATTACATTTGCTATTTGCCTGCCCTGCAGGTTATGTAAATTGTGCGCCTCTATCTATGCACCTGCACCTCTACCTCTGCTTCTGCTTCCCTCAGCGAGTTTTGACAAAATTTAATGATAGCATTTGATGCCATTTCGCAATCATTCCACTCGTCTCTCCTGACCTCTCCCCCCTGTCTGCTGTGGTTTTGTGTCATTTTAGCAAACGTGTGTGTGGCTGCCATCATCATCAGACGAATTTTGCAGAACTTTTTTCTTTCTTCATTTTATTTTGGTTGTTGTTTGACATTAACATCATAAATTAATGCGTGCACTTCTGCGATAATTGCACAAAATACATTGCATATTTACGAGCATTTTAATTTGCACATCTATATACATATATATATATATGTATTGTATATTATGTGCAACATTTGACTGGTGACTGTAGTTGGAATTGAGAGGTGGAACCGATTTGCAGCCGCTATTTCGGCGGCTCGGTATTGGCCAATGAGCTCTGTTAAGCTGGCATCAGCAGCTAGCTGAATGCAGTTGATTACCATTTCGTTGTTTTTTGGCATTTATTTAAAATATCGCACAGGATATGCACACGAAACATACACACAGATTTACAAAGTATACGCACATTTGGTGGGCTTAAATGTTGCAAATATGTTTGTGCGATATGTGGGGGAGGAGCTTATAGGCTTAAGTTTATTGTATTTTAATACAATAACATTTCAAAATACAAGTAAGTAAGCTTAAAAGATCTCATGGTTGATTTTGCAATAAAATACACATTGTTTTTTAGTATTATAATATAAATGACATTTCATTTACCCCATTCGAAAACATAGAATTTTTGAGTTATATAAAAGTCAATAAACTTTGACGAAAAATTATAATGATAAAATTAATCCTTCAAATTTCGGTTCTAGTCTTGTAACATGTTTTCTTTTTTTGGGATTTACATTCCTTAATAATAACTATTTGATTGTTCGAGTAATAGAAATGAGTTCATCTGCTGATTTTCAGCGTTAACATAATCAGTAGGCAAAAGAGACCTTGAACGGGAATTATCGACAGATTTGAATACAACTGAATACAACGCCCTTCAGAATGATTTCACCCATGTAATCATTATATCGTTTGGAAGTACCTGGCAAAGGAGCAGGCAATGCAAGGGGTCCACTTGTTTCAATTATAAAACTACAAATTGTGCGCTTTTCAGCCAACTCCACTCCACTTTCCCCAACACTCATGATGTACGCGTTGAGGGAGGGGTAAATGGTGGGGTTGAAGCACAACTGCGCGACGGCCATTAGAAATCGATTGACATAACTCAAAAATTGTGCAAATTAACGTTAAAACCAGCGAGCCAGTGACAATATGGGCGAGGCAACTGCAGGCTTGCAGCGGTGTGGCTGCTGTGCTGTGGTGTGGTGTCAGCCAACAGCCTGTAAATAACAGTGCAACGTTCCAGCATAGGCAAAATTATGGCCTGTCCTAGAGTTGGGGCATCGTGTGGTGCTAAAACAGCATACATGCATATGAGTAAAAGAGCAAACCCGATACGTGCGTGTGTGTGTGTTTGTGTGTGTGCAACGAGGGGTTGGACAGTGCTTGGCGGCCGCGTTCGTTGAGCGCCTGATGAAGAAATACGCGCGACTGTTGCAAACCGCAGTCAGACCAAGCGAGTCCGACCCTACCCCAATCCCAACCCACCAGACCCGTTCAAAGTGGACCTCAAATTTATGCAGGGCCTCGTGCAATGTGTCGTTGTCGGTGTTCTGATGGTTGTAGTTGCATTGCCAATAACCGAATATTGATTAGAGTTTATAGGCACAACCCAAAGCAACCGCGTGGACTCGCTAATAAAACGCAGCCGCAGCAAAACATGCGACGAGTGTTCTGTAATTTCAAATCAATTGAATTTCGCAAATAAATTATATACTATCTAATATTAGATTTGAATATTATAAATTTTTTGTAATATTGTTGCTTGCCTAGTAAATTGTGCATTAAAGTTGCTTATCAAGCTCAGAATATAATTTAAGTAAATAATTGCAAAGCAATAGAAATTTTAGCTTTTATATATTTACTTTCAGATTTGATGGCTTTGAATATATATTAGTTTATTTTTGGCTATGAGATCCAGCATATTTTAAATAGGCAAAAACACTACTCAGTACTTTTATCATCAAAAATTCCTCTAATTGGATACTTGCATTTAAAAGCGAATTCGATTCTAGGAACTGAGTAACAAGTAGACAGTACCAAAACTCCTCTTCGCGAATTGAGCAGACATTTTTGTGACATGTCGCACTGTTTATGTCATATTATATGTTGAAGCATTTGTTGTTTTTTGTGGATTTTCGGTGGTGCTTTTAGGTGCGCACCGAACGGAAATGAAACTTTTGCGGTCGCGTAAAATG